AGATTACTTAAAGATAATTCCTTTCTAAGTAGAAACACAAACCCTTGTTCAAGACATAACATTTAAGTAGGCATGGATAGAGATCTGTACTCTCTATCTGTAATCAGAGGAGTGGGTTCTTTGTCATTACCAATCATAGACTTAAGAAACGTGGGACATGTTACTTGATTTTTCAATCTTTAGTTTCTCAATTCTGAAGGAAAATTTAAAAATTTGTTTTTCTCTAAAGTGATATTATAAAAATAAATGAGAATCCTAGAAGTTCAGACATTATAAAGTTAATTAAACTACCTTGAATTATCAAAATTAAATAGATATGCATCCTGGAGCCCCAAAGTGTTATTTTGTTTCTTTCAAAGTAGTCACTTAAACTTCAACCATTTTGCTTAGCAGCATACTCATGGACAACTCTTCTCTCTCCACCCCTGCTTTTTCCCCCAATTTGTCCTCTCCTCCTGGCTTTACTTCTTACCTCATCCAATCTAAGGGGCTTGATTTCCTTCACTCTGGCAAGAACAGCCTGCATCCTCTGTTACATCTGCCTTGAGATCCCCAAATTGCAAATGAATCCAGTCATCCACCTCCTTCACTCCCACATCCAGGTAGCTGAGAGCCGCGGGCATCCTCCAGCACCAGCTGGGGGTTTGGTGCCTCTGCCTGCTTGGCTTCCAGACACAGCTGAGCCCTCCACACTGCTCACCACCCGGCAAACATGAGACTGCTCTATTTCTCCTCTCTATCTTGGAAAATCCTTTTTAGAATTTTACAGTCTCCTCAAGATCTCTTCTCCACTGCTGCCTCTTGAATGCATTCAAAAACTTCACAGAGAAATGTGAGTTTTTCCAGTTATCCCTCTCTCAACTTCCTGTTCACATGTCTTCCATTAAGACTTGTGAATTCACAAGTGAACATGCTTTCTTATCTCTAGTTTTAGAGAAAATAGTCACCTCTCTTCAGAAGGCTTTATCCCTAGGTTGATAACATTGCTTTTATCTTATTTTCTGTCTTCGACTTTGTCCAGTCAGCTATTTTTGGTATTTGTCTCTCTTCCTCTCAGCTGGCCCCTTCTGAACAAGCCATAAATATATTCATGTATCCCACATTTTAAATCAAAACAAACAAAAATACAAGCAAAATCTCCTCTCTCATCAGTTGCATTCAAGGTATTCCTTGAATACCTTGGTTACCTCTTCTGGGCAATTCTTCATCTTACTGAGGTCTGGATTCTAATCCCTCTCATCCACTGATCGATTCTGCAAATCCAGTGTCACTTGCTTTTTTGTTTGTTTGTTTGTTTGTTTGTTTTTTCAGTTCCTGTCTTACCTGAAAACTCACTGAGAGGTTTCCATTCTCTCCTTAAAAATCTCTCATTTGTTTCTGACGGTACTAACTACTGGATCTTTCCTCTCTCTGTCAGTGTCCTGTTTCAGCCTAATTTGCTACCACTCTTTTTTTCTGACTACACATGGAGTAGCATCTTTGGCTGTTATCTTCCCATTGTGGACACATCCCTCAGTGCAAGTACAATTGATATTTGCAAGACACACATATTAGCAAGTTCAACCCAGACATTTCCTGATTCTTTGATATTGATTCCAGACACACATTTCCAACTACTTACTCAATAGCTTCCTCAGGATATACCTTAAGGACTCCAGCACAAATTGCCTAAGTTGAATTTCACAACCTATTTTTCCTCCTATTCATCATCTTGATGAACAATATCACCTGATACACAAGTCAAATCTGAGTGTCTTCTGATACTGCTCTCTCCCTCTCAGCTCCTATGTTTAAATAATTACCAAATCTTAGATCTATTTGTATGTATTTCACCTCTCCACTCCCATGACTACTGCTGTGATTAAGTATGCATCACTTTTCACTGGGTGATTGAAATAGATTCCTAACAGATTTTTATATTTTATATTTCATACAGGCCTAAAAAGATGTTAATGGTTCCCTCACGCCCAATCTCCTGGTTTGGCCACTGTCTAAATTTTTTTTTTTTTCTTTTTTGGCTGTGGCACATCACAGGTCCACTGGAGACTCCCTGGTGAAAGCTACAGATTGTTTCTTTAGAAAAATGCACACTTTTTCATGCACACAAGCTCACACGTCACTGTAGAAGTGTCAGGATGTTCAAGGACTCCCTGAGTTCTGTCTAGGCATCCCCTGGCCAACCTGATATCTTGCCACACTATTCTTCAACACCTTCAGCAATACCAAAATACTTATAGTTCTCCCTAAATTCAATATTGTTTCGTACTTTGTGATGCCACCTCACATGAGCTTGCTTGCCCCATTCACTCAATAACAGAATAAAATTCATTCATCTAGTATCTGTTAGTCTAAGATCACCTCTAAGCTTATCCTTTTTATTCTTTCCTCACACATCTATGTCTGGATTTCTTATTTCCTTTATAGCCCTATTATATATGACTTCTGCCATTAGATCAGAAAATCACCTGGGATAGACAGTGTAATTTAAGGCTAAAGAGACTTGCAGTCAGAATGACATGGGTTTGAATGCATGAGAGAAATGGATATATTTGGTAAACAGCATAATTTTCCCTAATCCAGGTACTAAGAGTTACTCTGAGTTTGAGGAAGGAGAAATTTCTTCAGTCAAGTTAGTACCACTTAAGGAATTATAATAGAAGTGGCATTTAAATCAGCTTTAGTTTTTTTTTTTGGGTTTTTTTTTTTAAGTTTATTACTATTATTATTTTTACATTCTAAGATGTTGTTGTGGAATTGTGGGAGGGAGAAGGGAGAGGGGATGTGGGGAGGGGGCAGGGCTGGCCCAGGCTGACTCCTTCACTGGCCTGGTGGCAGACACTGGGGGAGGAGCAGGGGAGCAGGGGGTTTCGGAGTGTTGGGGGGGCATGGCTGAGCCCTCTGGCCCTGCCCACCACCCCCACAGCTTAGGAGCACCCCCAGGGGCTTCGGCTTCCGGCAACAGCTCAGAGGATTTGAGAATGCAATGATTAGGGGCAGAAGAGAAAATGAGTGAAAATTTTCATACATGGACCACATTTACTAAGCTGCTTTCAATCATAAAAATTAGAACCTTGATTGTATCATTAGATTCTTTTTATAGTGACAAAAAATTGTCACTCATGTGATTCATGTGAATCATTCCCTAACCCATATTTTCATTCCTTATTAGAAATGTGATTATTTGGAATTCATGGTGATCTCATTTTTCTAATTTTCAGTTCATCATTATATTTACTGATTTCTATGATTTAGAACATTGTTTCATAAATGAGTTTTTGAAGAAATCCAGTCTTGTGAAAAACTTATCAAGAAAGTATGCTATGGGTTAACAGGCTTGTGTTTCACATTACTATGGTAAAGGTTCTTAAAAGTCGTGTGTTAAAGAAATTTCACTTGTTCAACTCACTGCTTCACAACCTATTTGACTGCAGTACCACTTTTTCCATGATAGCTGTTATTTTCTAAGGGACTATTTCTGCATACTTTGGAGAATTATAATAAACTATAACTATTCATCTGCTATGCATGGTCTTTCCAAACAGAAATATTTATTAAGCATCCAAAATAAGTATTTTTGCAGGTTTTTTCTTACCTCTCAAAGAGGAGATTCCAAAATACTCCTTAACCTGAAGGACTTATATCATAGGCCATACGTGTGTTACAAATATTTGCTATCAACCTATTGTAAAAGAGTTGTTTAAATATATTACCAAAAATCAAATTGTAGTATCTTTTGGAACCAAAAGAATGGCTAGCTTTCAAATGTTTTTTTCTCTTCACCATTAATTTGAGGAAACTAAAGCCTAGAGAAGTTTAAGAACTTTGTGAACATCATGGAGGGAATCTGTAGTGAAAACATGGCTTTAAAGGTGATCTCTTGAATAAGAGCCCAGTATTCTTTTGTTGTTCAAAACTCTAATCCATGGATTAATAATCCGTTTATAAATAATAAAACTGATCCTGCTTGTGATGACAGTTGAGAAACAAAAACTAAGAGCTTATGTAAATGCCTAATTTTAAATGCATAGTCACTACTAAACATCTTGAAATGGCATTTTGCCTAATTGAGAATAAAAGCTTTAAAATAATTTAGAATAAAATTGTAAATTTCAGGCAAAAACGTTTTTAAAATATCTAATCTTTTAGAATATGGACTCTATAAAATCAGGAATGTAAAGTAAAAGTCATTATTCTTATTGGATTGTTTAGTTTTCATTTAATAAAATCTTCCCTTCCAACATGAAACCACTCATGGGGATCAAAGTCATTAGGAGAACACAGCAGATCGTGCTTATTAGTTGATTCTGACCGGTTCTGTGGTTTTAGCATAAGTTGTTTTTCCAAGGCAGAGGCATTTCCATCTGTTAGGAAATATGGACCTTTGAAATTTGTTTCAACAATAGCACCACATCATATCTCCTTCCTTAAAAACTTTGAAAAAATTAGGAGATATGTTACCCTCAATCAAAAATATAAAAAATGTAAAAGGGAATATATGTGCTATCCTCTGTAAAGTTACTTTCTTTTATTTAATTTCACTTTTATACTCTATAAGGTTACTTTCTTTTATTATAATTTCATTGATGATTGAAAATTTCAGGTAATAATACAGTTTGGGAGCTGTTAAGGTATAAAGGCACATGTGCCTACTTTTTTTTTACATAAAGAAAATGCGTATATGTGTGTATATAAAAAGCTTATTTAATTCTAGGAAACATATCCAACCTTTTCAAGATTAAGAAAATAACACACAATGTATGATACTTTAACTATTCAATACTACAAGCAAAATAGAAATCTAGAGAACTGTGATCCAGCATATCTGCAACTTTACCACCATATGGAAAATTAATGTTGTGAAGTCAAAAATGGCAATAAAATATACATAATTAGTTATATTTGCTGAAGAAATATAAACTCAGAATGTCAAACCATTCATAAAGTATTTATATTGACAAATCATATATGTAAATTAAATTTTAAAAAATTTTATCTTTCAGATTTTCTACTCTCCCCTGGCCCTCGTCATACCACCCTCAGTATATGCTGTTCATCTTCAGTTCAATCTTCTCTATCAATTTTGGATACATACAGAGGTAAATCATTTTATGTTTTTTGGGGTTTTTTTAGGTTTTATACCTAAATAGTTAGCCCAAAGCAATGTCCTGGAAATTCACTAGCAGCTGATTTATTGTGTAAGAAAAATCTTTGTGTGCCTTCTTTAAGGAGAAACATCTGTTCATTTTTATTCCTTTTTACTGAATATATATTGCAAAATTTATAAGAAGCAATGAGGCCAGTTGGTCTCAATTAAATAAAACAATTTTTGAACTATTAAATACCAAAAAATTTTAATACTATATTCAATACAATATCTTCCTGTATTACAGTTTATTAAATATTACTTTCCAAGAGATGTTGAAATTTATTTCAATTTAAAGTAGAACATTTTACATATATAGAAATGCAAGTGTGTGTGTGTCAGTGGTAACTCCTTGAAAACTCCTTGAAAAAAATTTAATGTTTGCAGAAATACTGAAAAATTTTTTGATTGGTAAACTTGCTTTAATTGTAGAGTTTAGGTTTTATTTAAAATTCTTCAAGAAATTATTGTTGTTGTTTTTTTTTTTTCTGGAAACTGAACAAATAGAATTGTTGATTCTTCTGTGGTATCTCAAATTGTCAGACTTGAATGTTTGTGATAGATCATTAAACAACTGATTGGTTTATGAACTATTGTACTAATCTTGTTGTTAAATATCAAAAATCACAGACCCAGAAAAATTCTTGCTTATACTCATGAGAACCCTTCTAAGCATTTGGTATTTATTGGAAGCCTTTTGAAGTTACTATAGGAAGCAGGTTGACAGGTGTTGCAAGTGGTTGAACGACATCACAAATCACAGCTGCATTAGATGCCAAATCTTGATACAACAAAGTGCATTATTTCATTAATCTGCAGTATTTCATGCTACTGATTTACTTGGAAAAAAAGAGACTGTTACTCTGACTTCGGACATATGTGGCATTATTTGAAGATTTGTCATGAAATAGTATTGTGTTTTATGATAGTTGACATACATCAAACACTCAATAACAAAACCATCTGAAAGCATTGTTGAGGCCAATTCTGACTCTGGAGGTCAAAGACCAAATTTGTTTAAATCAGGCAAGGGAAGCTTTCTGATGATTTACATGGAAGGGTTAAAGGAGAATTACATTTTTATAGCAGCTCTGCCCCAGGTCACGCCATGTGTTGGATCAGGTATTAGTCTGGGTACAGAACAATGGGGTTTAAGTAACTTCCTCCTTTTCCTGTGTTTCCCAGAGAGGTCCAGGAGCCAGGGCTTGAGTTCCACCTCATGAAGTAAGGGGAGAGTGGGGGAAAGCCAGTGGTGAGACTTATTCTTTTTAAGCTCAGAACCTCCAGGTGGTTTCATTTCCAGTTCAAAAGCAATGCATTAGAACCTCTCACTTGTGTTGCACTCATACTTTGAAAGCACTTTACCATGTGCAGTTTAGACATTTGAGCTGCACAGGAGGCAAGAATGTACTTTCTGAACTCATGGTTTGGATCTTAGAATTTTAAATTATGTTAGCTGTGAATACATTTCTGAGATGTCATATAACTATGTAATTACATTAGTTTATTATCTACAATATATTATCTTTTTTATAGAAAGAATTGTTTGAACATTTTGTAAAATAACTTGTTTACTATTCCGTAGGTTTTTTTCCTGCACAATTTTGTGGTCTTTGAACAAAGAAAGTTCTATTTCTTTTTCCCTGTATTTATGTCATTTATTTCTTTTTATTGCCTTATTGCTCTGGCGAGAAGCTATTGTACAAGACAGAAGTGGTTAGAGAAAGATGCAGACATGCAGACATCCACTACTGGCTTGTTCTCTTTCTGTCTTTATTTCTCTCTCTATATAGGGTGTGTGTGTGTGTGTGTGTGTGTGTGTGTGTGTGTGTGTTAGTGGTTGCTCTGTGGATTATAAATATGAATTCTTATCACATTTTACCTTGAATACATACAAATACTACTTATCATAAATGTAAGAATCTTATAGCAGTATGATTCCATCCATGCCCTCCAACTTTTTGGCTAGTGTTTTCACATATGTTAATTTTTTGCATGTTATACTTGTAAATCCAAAAATATTATTTGTATTATTCCAAATATAATGTCAATTGTCTTTTATAGAAATCAATAAAAGAATTAGTCTTCTATGTCTGCCTAAATGTACTTTTGCTACTCCTTATTCTTTCCTCAGAGATCAATAGTGCTCTGTCAATTTTTAAAATTTTACTTTCTTTTATTCACATTGGTTAGCTCTTATTAAGTTGTCTTCAGGTTCATTTACCCTTTTACCTGCTCTCTCCAATCTGCTACTAAGCCCATTCACTGGATTTCTCACATTAGATATTTTACTTTTAAGTTCTAGAATTTCCATTTGTTTATTTATAAATAGTTTTCATTTCTCTGCTAAGGTTATCTATCAGTCACTCATTATGACTATATTTCCCTTTAAGTCTTAATTATAATAATCATTTTTAAATCATTGTCTGCTAATTCTAGCATCTGAGTCATGATCAAGTCTACTTAATTTGACTGCTTTTGTTTTTGTTTTTGTTTTTCCTTGATATGGGTCACATTTGTCTTTTTCTTTTGTGTCTGGTAATTTGTTATTATATGTCATTCTTTATTGCAAGCTTGTTGTAGTGTGTTAGGGTTCTCCAGAGAGACAGAATCAATAAGATATATTATAAATATATGAGAGGGGATTATTAGGGGAATTAGCTCACATGATTGTGAAGAGAAGTCACATGATAGGCCACTGCAAACTGAATGTGGTTAGCGTGGTTCAGTCCAAGTCCAAAGACTCAGAACCAGGGAAGCTGATAGTGTCCTGGGTGTGAGTCCTGGATGAAGGCAGCATTGCTCAGTCCAAGTCCAAAGGCCTCAAAACTAGGAAAGCCAATAGTATCCTTGGTGTAAGTCCTGGAACCCAAAAGCTGAAGAGTCTGATGTCCACAGTTGTAGAGAAGAGTCTTCCCAGCTCCAGCCGATAAAGAGAGAGAGATTCATCTTTTTTCTCCATTTTTTATTCTCTCCAGGCCCCCAGTGGATTGGATGGTTCCTGCCCATATTGAGGGCAGACCTTTCCCATCCAGTCCACTCAGGCTTTCATTCTAATCTCGTCCAGTAATGCCCTCATGGACACACCTAAAAACATAGCTTTACCAGGTTTCTTGGCATTCCTTATTCTAATCAAGTCCACACCTAGAATTAACCTTCACATGTAGAGACTCTAGATTCTGTTATATTTCTCCAACTGCTCCCTATTCGTATTAGAGGAGGTGGTAAAATAATTGGCTGTCTTGTGTTTTAGAGATTTTGATTTACACTTTGTTAGGACATGTGTTTCCTGGCAGTTTTTAGTCCTAGGGCATATTCCTTATGCTTGGTGATCTATAATCTTAGGACAAGGCCTGTCTGAAGTGTTTACAAAGTCCCTCTCATGTGGTAGAATTCAAACTCTAAATTCTCTCTTGCTAGCACCAGGTAGCAGTTGAAATCTCATCTCAACAATTTCTAGCTTTTTACCATCCTAGATTTTCATCAAGTTCCTTAGGTAGGGCCTTGCCCTACACATAGTAATTTAAAAGTCAGTGGAAGTCTGAGGGTGATTTGTGTGCAGACACTGTGGCTCTCCCTCTGTGGTTCCTTTTACTCTGGGATTTTCCCCTCTTAATTTCCAGTCATTTTTGTAGTCCCAAAATTTGACCTGTGCCTAAAATGTAACCTAACAAAACTGGCACTTTCTCTTTGAGCTTTATGACTCTTCTCCTTGCATTAAAGACATGCCATAGGGCAGCCATTCTATCAAAGTGTTATTGCACCAGCTATGTTCAGCCCATTTAATGATCTAGTTGACAGTCTGTGAGGAAAAAAAAAAATCTTCTCATTAGCAACTCTCTATACTCAAACAACTGTCCCAGTTAGGCATTTTCTCTTGGGATAATTTAATGATAGACCTACGTAATAAAAGCCGATAGAAATTAGAGTATAGGAGAACTGGCAGGGATGCAATACACAATATTAAAAAGCATAAGAACTGTGCAGTAGAACTGTGAAGTAATATAACCAATGAGATAATAGAATCCAGAAGTTTGAAGAAAGTATGCAATATAGAAAATATAAAATGTTACTGTTCCAGCACAGCAGCAACAGCAAAAGAGTGGTAATAGCATGAGCAGAGATTTAGGGAATCTGACTGCTGAGCAGTGTTTCGCTTATTGCCCTTTTGCATCCAAATTTGCAATTTTCATGGAAGTCTGAGAATATGAGGGTACTTCAAAAAGTTCCTGTAAAGATTTGTATTATCTTTTAATTCTGTTTTTCCATGAACTTTTTGAAGCACCATTGTGTTTATCTACTCTTTAAAATCCTAGAGTCTATGCAAGACCCAGTCACGCGTAAAGATTTAGTTTTCTTCTAGTAACTATATACACTTTACCTATTTTTTAAATAACCCTTCAAGAAGAAAAAATATATAATATTTGTGACATGAATTTTAAGTTATGATTGCATAGAAACATATTTAGTTTATCTCAAGTATCTGAAACTGTTATTTAGCCCTTTGCATAGGTGAAAAATGTGTTGGAATTATTAAGCTTGTTGGCAAGATTTTTTCATTAATAAATTAAATATTTTTTGCATGAAAAACATGATACCAGGGTAGATGTTCTTGAGTGTTTTATGTACTATGATTATAAAAACATAAATATGAACATTATAAGCACACAATTGGTCATTTCAAGTTCTTTTTTAAAAACAAGATACATTACAAATAGGTAATAATATTTTCATAATGTAAACTGTATCTTTCTATACACTCTGGGATTAAATTGTCTGCGTTCAAGTTCTGACTCCGTTTGTTATTATGACTATGAACCTGGGCAGTTTTCTTTACCTTTCTGTGCCTCAGTGTTCTTCTAATTAAAACTAGGATAATAACGGTATGTGGCACTGTTGTGAGGATTAAAAAAGATAGCTCATGTTCCAATCTAATGACTAGGACAGTGCTTG